GCATGTCATGGAGGCGAATTGACCATACTTCACCACAATGGTCAGTGAAACCGTGAGCAGTTTCACGAGACCAAGGAAGTCCAGCACGAGGGAATATTTTGCTGCCCTCCACGTAGCCCCGCAACCTGTAACACCTGTTATGCACGGTGGTGACCCATCCCAGCAAGGACTGCAGACGCAAGCCGAGAGCCCAACCACGAACCCACGGCCGAGACGCCGACACGCGGCTACCCTCTGCTGGCGGTCGTGGGGATGAGACCCTCTCCCTTGGACCCTAGATCAGGGATGGCGAGGGTTCACCATCAGCCATGATCAGTCCACTGCAGGTTGAAGGCGTCTAAGTGGAATCGTCGCCATCTCACGGTTTTAAAATCCATCGATCCAACCAGCACACGAGCAAATTACATTGCTCCATCTCCACAGTGGGACGTTCTTCTCCAACGCGTCCCAATCCTTGGCTGCCACTCCCTGCCAGTTCGAGGTGTTTCTCAAACTGCAGTCCTCGCGGTCCACCTCGGAAACTGTAGGGTTACAAGCTGCACGTGCCTTATGATTGTGAAACGTGTTATGTGGAGAGCTGTAGGGATGTTGAATAGCAATGCAATAACGCGAGAGATGGCAACGGAGTTGGAGAGCCCTTCCTCAAGCAGTGGATAGACCCTGGCTGGCGACGATGGACACCCATGACACTTGCAAGAAACCATTTCCCCCTCCAAAGAATGCGTCCTCTCGTCTCTCCCAGCGGGAGACGCCACCACGCCTGCCGATTTGCGTCTGCAGAGTGAATGTCAAGGGAGAGTCTCAGTCTACGGAAGTTGCCTCCACTCGACGGCTCCTTTGGAGGGTATACCTAATCACCCAGGAATGTCCTTAACGCTCGTGACGTCACTCCACATCGAACAGCCCCCCCTCATTAATATTCATGAGCAGGTGACGTCCTCCAAATGGACCCCCCCCCACCCCTCCTCATTAATAATCATGAGCGGGTGACATCACTCAATATGGAGTACTCCCCTCTTCACTAATAATCATGAGCAAGTGACGTTACTGCTCATCGAACAGCCCACCCTAAATCATGAGCAGGTGACATCCTCCAAATGGACACCCCCCCCCACCCATTATTATTAGCGACTATAATGAGCCAAGAATGTCTGTGTGCAACGCTCGTTACGTCACTCCACGTCGACCCTCATTAATACTCATGAACAGGTTACGTCCTCCACATGGACCCCCCCCTCATTAATAATCATGAGCAGGTGACGTCACTCCACATGGGGGGCCGAGGCGCCTCCTCCCCCCTCCTCGGCGTCAACTTAGAACCCTCACTACAAAGGCAGAATCCTCACGTCACGTGATCTCCGTCACGCTGTTGTTGAGACATCGAAGTAAAAAGGACGTCATGATGAACAAGGGATTATAACCTTAAAATTTAGTAGGTGTGTGTCACCGCGCCCTGACCAATTGCACACGAATGGATGCAATGAATATCACGTCGCGGTCTGCTTTTCGCTTGCAAGTTTCAGATTTACTGCAATGTACCCGTCCTTGGACGGGCAAAAGGCGAGTTTGGCATATTCTACCACGCAGGCCAGACGTCTTCAGAGGACGGTGCGAATACCCACACTTTACCCCACCGTACACGACCTACCGATGCTCATATTCTACAAAGGGTTTTCATTATCTAGCGAATGGCTTGAAAATGTACCGTCCAATTTGATTCATTGCGAGGCCATTACGTAAGTGCTTTAAGCAATAATCCACGTTTTAAAACTCAGCAGTGGCATCTAGAAGATGTGCACTCGTGTTTATGTTCCGGCCAATATGTCGAGCCGGTGGAACCGGGTAGAGAAACATTACGGCATCAATACAGCGATTAGTTGAGGGGAACTCACAGAGATATCAGAAACAGAATCTGTGTTTAGACTGAAGTAATCCCATGAGCTGTGAAGGTTTTTTTCACAGAGGTCCAGTCGGAGCGGGTCATGATATTGATAGCTCATGAGTAATAATGGGGGGGGGGGGGGTCATTAAGATATGCATTCGGGGACTTATATTATATAAATTTAGTGGGGAGGGGGGCGGCTCATGAAGAAACTAAATGTTGTTTCTCCTCAGCCCCCCACCACCCCTAGGAGTTGCTTATGAATGAAGGTGGAGCAAGGCAGGTGGGGTGGGGGTGCACTCCTGTTCATGGGGGGGGGTGTACTGATTAGTAATGTAATTGAGGGTAATCGATGCAAAGAATCCACGACACGAGTGTGGGACCGCTGGTAATCGATACTTTCATTTCCGTGCCAATTCGCGCGCGCGACAGCCAGAAATGTGTGAGCGCCCGGCACCTCACATCCACAATAGCTACCCTCGCAGTGGCTCTACGAGTCGCCACCTATTTGCAGGCCACAGACCGCCTGTAAAAAAAAGCACAATAATTTCCAAGGGAAGTTGTGAATCCGTGCGGGTAACGAATGGTGCCCTGATTATTCGATTGGCACGGTCGGTGGTGGCGATTCCATTAAAATTAAATTGCGCCACCACGGCAGAAGTTGGTGGCACTTAATGGAGCAGAACTCTCAGTGATTTATCTCCGCGACTGATAAGAGGGACTGGCTTGAGAGCCTCGCTCGTTTGAAATGGCCATCACTCTATTCACTGTTGTGGCCCGGAAAGTTCCCTAGGGCCCCGCGGTGGCGAGATGCTAACTCCCTCGCCTGGTATGCGGGAAGTCGTGACCCTGACGCCCGTATATTTGGAGTTTGCATGTTCTCTCTTTCCCCGTGGTCGCGCAGGGTTTTCTCCGGGTTCTCGGGTTTTCCCCTCCACATTTATAATCAACGTCACTCGTTTATAATATTTGGATGCTATACATTTCCACGTGATGATAAGACACTTCTTTGAGCTATCATTTGTGACCAGGTCCTTTCTGAAAAAAAAGCTCTATAGCTCTGCGGGCCTTACCTGGTCAAATAAAAAAATGTTTTTTTTTAGTAAACACTCTAAACTGGGACCATTAAAGTGATGCCACCTCAGGTGGCACCGGCGAGTGAGACACCTGGCCCAGGTTCACGGCGGGAGGACACGTGGCTCCTCGCTCTCGCTGGCCACTGGCGGGGCACGTGGCCCAGCCTCCAGCGACTGCTCGTTCCAAGCGAAGCGGCTCAACACAACACAGACGCGTGGACTACACGGTGTGCAACCTAAGACAACACGGGGCCACTCGATTGTGTGCGCAGCTCGAGTTAACACGCGCATCAACTAAAACATATTGTATTCAAACATTGTTTTTATTTCACCAGGCAAGGCCCACTGAGCTATGTAGCTCTTTTTCAGAAGGGACATGGCCACAAGTGATGCCTCAACGAAGTGGCTTATCACGTGAACACTTATAGCAGACAGAGGGGAAAACAGATAATAATCCACGCGACCACGGGGAGAGAGACGTAAACCCCAAATACACGACAGGGTCGGGATCGAACCCGTACGCTCGTGCATGCCAGGCGAGGGAGTTAACATCTCGCCATCGTGGCGACCAACCCTGCTGATGAGACACTCAACGTCGAACCCAATCTAGAGATTGGCTTGTATTGAATGAATGTTGCTGAAATTGTGTGGCTGATGGAAATGTACAAAAACACTTATTTTTATGCTTAGGGACAAATATATCCGAATGGGTTGTATCGTCTGCTCTATTGCAATAGTACATATTTACATCAATTAATCTGAGCGTCATTAATTAGTGCGAATTTTAACAGGCGGAGAAGCCATGGCGACGCTGCTCGGGCAGCCCCCGGGGTCCTGGCGTCCGCGGTCACGTGACGCGGCGAGGGCGAGGCGGAGCGCGGCGCCATGGCGGCGCGGAGAGGCTGAGCGAGAGGAGGAGAGGGAGCGAGAGAGGAGAGGGGATCGAGTGGGGGTAGCGGAGGGGATAGAGGAGGGGATAGAGAGAAGAGCGGGACGAAAGACAAGAGAGGCCTCCTCGCCTCGGCCCCGACCCGTAGTGGTGGAGGATCTCCTCGGCCCGGCCCGGTGAGTTGGGGCCCTGACTCCGGACCCCGCGACGCGCGGCCTCGGCCCCCCGAGAAAGAGGGGAGAGGGGGCGCACTGGGGTCCAGGGTGATCAGGGGGTTTCGGGGAGTCACGGGGGTGCAGGGGATTATGAGGTTGCAGGGGGTCAGGGCATCCCTGGCATGAGGAAAAGTTCGGGGAAATAGGGATTATGGGTTTATGGGGTCACAGGGGATGCGGGGATTCGTGGGATCAGAGGGTTCGGGGGATACTGCATTGGAGTACCAGGGATTCGTGGGGTATAGGGGTTTAAGGAATGTCGGGTGATCGGGAGTCCATGGCATCAGGGGTTTCGGAGAATCGCGGGATAACAGTGGGGTCTTTGGGATTATGAATCTAGGGGATCAGAGGTTCACGGTGTACAAGGGTTTTATGGGATCAGGGAGGGGTCCCTGGCATCAGGGGTTTTAGGTAATTAGGGCATGGGGGGGGGTCACGGGATTTAGAGGATAAGTGGTGTGAGGAATTCACTCGATCGGGGCATCAGTGATTCACGGGGTACCGGGGTGTCGGGGATAAGGGATTCAGGGGGGTAACTATGGATTCAGGTTATCGTGGCATCGGGGGTTTGTGGTATCCAGGGGGGTGAGTCGACTACGGGGTCGAGGAGATTGAGGAGATGAGGGATTCCGGATGGTTTGGGGCTGTAGGAGATAAGAGGGATCACGCAATTCTAGATGTAAAGCTTTCGTGACTGCTAGGATCCATACTCTTTGGTTCTATTGGGTAAAGTCACGTAGGTGAAAATAAATAACAAAAAAATAACGACGTTTCGGCCACAACACAAGCGGCCTTCATCAGGTGAAGGGACGAGACTGTCTGGAGGACAGCGCTGGAGTTGTCCTCCAGACAGTCTCGTCCCTTCACCTGATGAAGGCCGCTTGTGTTGTGGCCGAAACGTCGTGATTTTTTTGTTATTTTATTTTCACCTACGTGACTTTACCCAATAGAACCAAAGAGTAGGGATCACGCAGTTCATGGGATCGGGGGTTTCAAGGGTTCAGCTAGCGGATCATACGGGATCCGGGGGACCCCATAGATCCCCTTCTTCCACTTTCCAGTGTCGCCCTGGGCCTCTGAACCCCCCTCTTGACCCTCCGGTCCCCGCAAAGCAGGTGGATGCCCCCCCCCCCAACCCCTCTGGAGTGAGTGATGGGCGGTGGAAGCTGGGAGTGGATGCGTGGCTGCGCGTGTGCGTCTCGGCTTCTGCGTCGTGGGCGACCGATGATTCGGTGATTGCAGGGTGAGTTCGGTTCTGCTATGTGTGTGTCTTTGTGTGTGCGAGTTTGCAGTGTGTATGCATGCGCCTGGTATTTGTGGATGTGAATCGAGTGTGTGAGGCTGTTTCTGTGTGTGCGTTTCTGGTTGTTGGTGCTCTGGTCGTTGTGTCACTGCCTTTTGTGGTGCAAAATTATTTGTATGTGGTAGTAATTGTGTTGGTGGTTATGTTACTGTGTGTTCTCCATAATCACTCCACCATTATAATCACCACCGTCATTACCACCATCTTTATCATTCACCTCAACTCCATTACAATAAACTACACCACCATCATCAACTACTCCACCATTAGCATCATCATCTACACTACCATTATAACAATCGGCGCACATCAATGACATCACCATTATCACCATCGTCACGTGTTGGTGATGGTTTTGTCGTGCTGCCCTGCCCTAGCCGCGATCACAAACTACCTGCCGATGCCCTCGAGGCACCCGGTCGCCTGTGCGGCAAACACAAACAGGTGCCCAGGAGTCGAGACAGTGGAGCGAGCCCAGCCCCTGTCAGTGGAAGATGGTGGGAGATGGGGCCAAGGAGAGGCCCCCACTCTGGCCTGACGAGTGGCTTGGTGGTTTCGGGAGACGTCTCGGTGGCAGTGATCTAGCCACTGTGATTAAGATCCCCTTTAAACAAGTGAGGGATTCCTTGTCGGGCAGGTATGAGATGAGACGGGGGCTCTGTTTGATATGCGAGAAATCACCATGCCTCTTGCTTTTTGCAGGAAGGGAACCCCCCACTTTGTTCCCGGCCAAGACAAAACAACGATGATTGCAAAGTAAGTTTTCTGAGTGGTCTGTGGATGAGTGAGCGCAGGGACTGCGTGTCGCGTGTGAAACGATGACCGCTCGGTGTGCGCCTAAGTTCGGTGCGGGTGTTGCGTGCGAGTTGAGTGAGTAGGTGTGTGTGTATGTGCGTGTTTGTGGAGGGTCGCGCTTGAGTGTGAATTGACGAGCGTGGACTGTGCAGTACCCGCACTTTGTTAGTCTCCTTTTCTTTAATAGCACACGTGGCCTACAACCGCACACCATCATAATCTACGGCAACACGACATCACCGACTACAACTACGGTACACACCAAAGGTTTACAACCACAGTTACACAGCACAACTACACACAAAACGGTCTAAAGTCATACGCGTGCTCTGCAACTCCTTCCACCATGGCGGACAACCACAGATGGCACGATTAAAATCGCACAACCACAGACAGCACGATTACAATCGCACAACCACAGACGGCACCATTACAATCGCACAACCACAGACGGCACGATTACAATCGCACAACCTCAGACGGCACCATTACAATCGCACAACCACAGACGGCACAATTACAATCGCACAACCACAGACGGCACCATTACAATCGCACAACCACAGACGGCACCATTACAATCGCACAACCACAGACGGCACAATTACAATCGCACAACCACAGACGGCACCATTACAATCGCACAACCACAGACGGCACAATTACATTCGCACAACCACAGACGGCACGATTACAATCGCACAACCACAGACGGCACGATTACAATCGCACAACCACAGACGGCACGATTACAATCGCACAACCACAGACAGCCATGCAGCACGATGCTCTAACCACATTCCATGGTGGTGAACCACTACAGCCGTGCCCTGTCATGGTCTGAAGTCACACACACAGCAACATCCCAGTGGAATGTGTTTGCAGTTCACTGCGTTTCTGATACAATCACAATGCGAGAAGCGGACAGCTGCACGTGTGGTTGTGTGCAATCGTTGGTGTGTGTTTTGGCGTGCAGCCTTTTGTGTGTAGAGGTGTGCGGGTGTGTGTGGGTGATTTTGTGATCGTTGTTGACTATCACTTTGGATTGACGATGACTGACTGAGATAAGGTTAATTTGTGTGGGTGTGTTTCTAATTGTGTGGGTGTGTCGGTGCGCGGTTGTGTTTGTGTGAGGGTATGTGGGCGTGAGTGTAAATGTGCTGTTGTGTACGTGGGTGTGTACCAATGTATTTTCCTTCACGACACTGAGATGCGGAGGGAGAGAGGATGTCCTTGTGCGTCGGATGTTGCGGCCTCTCCCCCACTTTGCTAACAATGGCTAAAAGAGTTTGTAAGTTATACCCCTCGTCCCACAGGCCCTGAAGCCTTGAGCTACAGGCAACAGCTGCGCAGATTGAAGCTTACAGTTAGAAAATGCCGCTTGGCATAGAGAATACGGCGCCACGTCCTGCCTGCGTGCTCGCCACGGAGTTGGCCCTTGAGGAGAATCCTTAAGGTCATTTGGCTTTCCGGAAATAATCCGTTACGAGGGTAGTTTACTCTCCTGCGCGGGGCTTGGTGTTTCACTCGTGTGTCGGCACACGGCAAAGGGCGGACGCCCAGGGGCTCACCGCTTCGTGAGGTTTCCAAACAGGCCCTTCGTCTTGTGACTCGACGAGGGTCGAAAGTTCCGAGTGTTCCGAGTGTATTCTTTGGGAGCACGGCAACTGTCGCGCAGTCGGGATAGACCGAGAAAAGACAGATCACACACGCACACACGTGCGCTCAAAACAAGAGAGAGGCCACCGCTTGTTTGTTCCGAAGCGAAATCTGCGTGCGTAGGCAGCGCGACCGATGGGCACAAAGCAGATGCTCCCAGGTGGTGCAGCCGGTAGGGGGTTGTGGTGGTGATGGCGGCATGTGGGGAGGGGGGCGGGAGTCAGGGTGGTGGTTGACGGGTGAAGTGGTTGCCCTTGAAGTGACATCACGAGTGTGACCGCACGAGAGGCCCGAGGAATGCGGAGAGGGACCTGAGAGTGGCCGTTTCTGTTGGGATGGCCGGCCGGCTGGCTGGGTAGTGGAGGGCGGGGGGAGGTAGTTGAGGGTGGGTGGGCGGGGTGGCTGCTAGTGCCATGGTGCCCCGTGGGGCGCAGGCCCCATGACCGCCTGGCACTGCACAACGCTCCCCCCCTCCACCTCACCCGCCCTTTCTACCTTCCGGGCAAAGCAGCAGAAATAATTAATGCGGCATTTGAATAAGAAAAAAAACAGGTTTCAGAAAACATTGATTTTGGCTCGGATTTGATGCATGGTGGTGCGGCGATGGCAGATGCAGGATTATTTTATTTCGACTGATAAATCACCTTGTGTGAAATTAACCTAACGCTTGGCTTGAACACTCACACGCATGCATTTAAAAGCATGCATGTGCGTGCATTACCATGACCTGTTTAACTCCCGAGATGCCACCTAAATGTGGCTCTTGTTGTCGCTGCCACACAGACAGCAGCCGTCGTGATTTAGGGGCCGCACATCACATACTCGCTCGCTTAATTACCATTTTAGCCAGAACCGTCCCTCTGATAGCAGCGGAGGTTCGCTACGATTGAGAGCGCTATCTCCCCCATGCCACACGGTCACCGACGTTCTTTGCCCGTCTTCGTTGTCGTCGTTTAGATGTCGCGTGTGTATAGTGTACAGTGTGCGAGTGGTGCACAAGCATTGCTTTGTCGAACTTCTTGCGACGCGGTAACATGGCCCAGCTGCAACGCGTTCGCCACATGTTGCAGAAATTTTCAATTCTCAGTCGATCGGCCACCCTGGTTATCACTGCGGGTACACGGACCGTAATGTACAACCTGCCTTCTGCCTCACTGCGGATGTTAAAGGCCCCGTGACGTCATTAGAAAAGAGAAGGCCATTGTGTGCCGGCGTTATACTCCAAATTTGAAACAGTGCCTGCATGTTGCTCAATTGGAATTACGCGGCAACATTGCCCCCTACTGTGAAGCAACTGCAGACTGTGTGAACGGCGCCTTCCTTCTCGATGGCCTTGTGCGATAAGAATGCACTCGGTTACTATTATAAAATTAGCATTCATTATTTGAGGCTGTGCGTGGCCATTCAGGGCCTTCCCGTGCCGGACAGATTTATTTATTTCCAGGCCGTCTGATGGCCGCGCGTTGTCACTGCGACCCGCTTAGCCACACTGTGCGCAGATTAGCCACGGAGCACTTCTCAGCGAGCAGGGGTGAGCGGAAACAGTCGGGATTGGAGCTGTGAAGCCTGACCCTGCTCCCTGTCTAAACAAAGTAACTTCCCAGGTCCACACTGCCGAGAAACGCCGCAGGCCTCCTCCTCTTCCCCGCCCCCTCCACCACCCCGCTTCCCTCACTCTGCGTGACAGAGTGGGCCGTGATGTAAAGCCTGGAGGAAGCTCTGTTCCCTGGCAGTGTGTGCGTGCATACATGTGTGCGTGATCGACTGTCATCCGAGACGCGGTATGAATGGGATGGCCAGTGGCGGTGTAGTCTACCCCTGACCGCGTAATGCCGTGCGTGACACCTCGCCCATCTCCTCCACAAAGCCCCGGGTCGCTCTGTCTGCTGCAGCCTGCGGAATGCGATCCCTCCTTTAAAGACACTTGTACCTTCGCAAATTGTTTCGACCGGGCTTTGTTTCTCCTCCTGATTTTTTGCCGAGGCTGGGAATCTCGCAGACTCTGTGTCAACTTAAACCCTAACTCTAACTTCCCCCACCACTCCCCCCTCCGCCCCACCCATTTCCACCGAGTGGGCCTTTTGAGCAGGCACGGCCGAGTTGGCTGTGCCGTGGGGCGAAGTATTCCCAGCTACCGTGTTACTACGAGGTTGGAGTGAGTGTTGCAGGCATGCCTCGTTGGCCATTGCACAAGCGCCTGGCTCGGTGTGCAGAGGCACCTGGGCCCACGTGGACCCAGTGAGATATGGTACAAGGAAGGGCCTTTAAAGGGAGGCCAGTGATACCATTGGGTGCTTTCTGTGATAAGAGACATATAGTGGTGGTATAGGTGATAATGTCTATGGTTATAATGATATTGGTGGTGGTCATAGTAACTTTAACCATAGTGGTGATTGTGGTATTTATTACTATGGTTTTGATAATGACAATGATTAAAGCGGTGTGGTAGTCATATTGTTTATGGTGATGGTAGTGGTGGTGACAGTGATGGTAACCGTGATAGTGTAAGCGATGGTGATGGTAGTAGCTGTGGTGGTGGTGGTGGTGACAGTGATGGTAACCGTGATAGTGTAAGCGATGGTGATGGTAGTAGCTGTGGTGGTAGTGACAGTGATGGTAACCGTGATAGTATTAGCGATGGTGATGATAGCAATGGTAGCAGCGGTCGAGCTGGCCATGCACAACGAGCAGGGTACGGCCGCGACTCCGTTTGGTGTGACCTGCAATACCCAGGGCTCTGTCTCTGCGACTCGTCAGCATGCCATCACCACCGCGCGCCGCTCTGTTGTGCATTAACAGCCGCTGCAGTTGTAACGGCAGCAGCTATTGGCCCCGGCGAGAGAACGCGGAGATGCGGGCGGGCGGGCGGGCGTGTGTACAGTGCCAGAGAGGAATTATTTACAGCGAGACGCGAATAGCACGTGTACATCAAGAGCGGAGATGTGGGAGGGCAACCATGCGTAGTGGAATAGATAATGACCTTCCATTCTACAGAGAGCACAACTCGTGATTTTTACAGGACGCCCCGAGTCGGCTTGAGGAAGATGAATGAAATGCAAATACGTTGGCCTTAAAAGCCGCTTAGTCAGAGAAAAGATAAAAGGATGTAATTAGGTTCCCGACATGTCAGGCTCGCTGCGGCAAAATAACCCGAGCGGCGCTAGTAATTAACACCCGTGAAACTCGCCGGCGCTAACGATTGATGAAATGTTTAATTAGAGGTGGCGACAGCGTAGGTCGGCAGGGCCTGTGCCACGCTGCGCACAGCCCTGACGGGCCCCGTCACTCGTGTGCACGCGCGCGCTCGTCCTGCGTGCGACGACACCGGTTTCCCCGTCACCTGATAGAGGAGTGACCCGGCGGTAAGTCTCATTCCGCCCTCGTCTCTCCGGGGACAATGCCACGCGATTGTTCGAGAGAATAATGACGAGCGCTCACGGCAGGGGTGGGGGTGGAAGTGAGGGGACCCCCCCCCCCACCACTCCTCGAGTCTTCCCGGCCAACGGCGAACAACGGGAGGCACACACCGCGCCCCTGTGGGTTCGGGTTATGTGTTGTGACTTGAGCACGGAATGTACGCGTATTCACACTCTGCGAGTATCAGCGCGTTTTGTCTTTTCAAAAAAAGAGGCCAAGAGTAAATAATCCGGATCCGTGCCCTCGCACATCGTGAGCGTAAGAACCAACGTTGATTATTTTTCCACTGCTATTTGGCCAGGATCGACATCTCCTTAGGCAAGGGCTTCCTCCACACAGCCGCAGTGCACTGGGTTTATGACGAGGTTCAGCTGTGGTGGGCCCGCTCGCTTGGTTCGCGTGGCCTTGGTGCGAGCGCGCTGGAGGGAGAGGCCGTTCACAGACGCGCACCGTCTCCGCGCCACTCACTGCGCCGGTCCCAGCGCGGCCTCTCGGGTTTTTTTGTCACCATGCCAAAGGATGCATTTTGTGCGGTGGGCAGGCGGGAGAGCGGGTGTGACGTGCTACTTGAGGGGCCAGTTGTGATGAATTGGGAAACGGGAACAAAAAAGCTTTTATGTGTCGGCACAAAGCACCGAGTTCAGTCTGAGTTCAGAGAGGTGCGGCGAGCAAAGTGGAGGGCAGGGGAGCTAGCGCCCACCCTCGCTCGCAGTGGCCGCAGAGAGAGATGAGATTCTATCCCAGCGTTCATTTTGGTCGGGGTGGTCCGGGCTGGTGACCGGAAATCTCACTCCGGCCGTGGCCACCGCTCGTCTCGTGCCACCTCCTCCTGTCAACAGGCAACCCAGAAAAATATGCGGCCAGAAATTTAGCCCTAGTTTTCATGAAGGAATTGGGTTACACAGAGCTTCTATATGTCATCGCTCAGAACAGTTGCAGAGTGATCACCACGGAGTGAGTTGGTGCAGTCGGATTATTTAAAAGAGACTTTCTGGCTCTTTACAAAACAACTACTGGGTATACCACATTCGCTGGATTATGAGACGCAGGCCATACCTGTGCCGAGTGTCATTAAAGTTATACAATGCTTGACACGCACACACCCACACGTACGTGCGTGCATACCAGGTATTTTAAAGCAAACCAAAGTTTGCTTTAAAGCACCAGGGGAAAGCATGTCTTATAATCTGGGGAATACACTAATAATTGAAGTGATGTTTTGTTATGAAGGTAATATTTTATCGTGTGATTTTGTCATAGGCTAAGCAGGTTTGAGTCTGGATAGTGCTTGGGAACGGGCCATTACGGGAGAGGAAGTGCCCCTGAGCGATGGGATGGGAACGGCTCGTGCGCAGGTGCTGGGTGGATTCTCGCATCGTGGAACCTTGAAGGATGGCGGAGACTTGGGGAGGCCTTCATTGAGCATTGTCGCTGACCATGGCTGAGGATGAGTTTGGTTATAACTGATGTTGCCCGTGGTGATGTGCGTCTCTGTGTGTGCGTGTGTGCGTCTGTGCCTGTTGCCGTGCAGGTGAGCGCGCGGTGGAGATGGGCACTTGCCGTCTGCCAAGCCCCGCAGAGCTCGACGCGTACGCACGCAAGGTTGCTGACCGCCCGCTCACCGTCAAGATCTTCTCAGGGAACGTGAAGGTGCCCCAGCGCAAGGTGACGCGCCGCCGCATCAACGGCCTCGAGGTGCCCAGCGCCTCTGCCAGTGCGCAGCGCTACAGCCCCTACCCGGCGCCTGGGAGCCGCTACCAGGGCCTGCTGGCGCTGGTGACCGCCGTGCCGCAAGCCTCCGCACCCAAGTCTTCGTCGTCGCACGGCAGGAGAGTCCGAGACATGTCACTTCCCGGAACGGGTAACGTTCCGTCGTCGGGTTTCACGATGCCGAGTTCCGGTGCCGGCGGGGTCGGCGGGAGGGACAAGGCGAGTGCCGAGGCAAGGACGCGCGAAGCGGCGGCGGCAGCGGCGGCCTCGCTGGCGCTGCCTTGCGCCGGCCGCCACCCTGCCGCCGTGGCCGGCGGCTCGCTGCAGTCGGGCGCCGTGCAGACGCTGCACAATAACGCCTTCCCCAAAATGGACGCCAAAGAGGTGGCGCCCATCAGAGTTCCGCGCGCCATGGCCGCGCCGCCCGCCGTCGCGTCCCACGCCGCGTCCGCCCTGTGCGACGGCGGCCTGCCGGGGGCCTACGCCGGCAAGTCCAGCACGGTCTCCTACAACCCCGGCGGACACTTTGTCAAGCCACCCGAGGCGAGCGGCGGCGGCCTCAAGGCGATCCACCTCCCCCCGCTGTGCCATTCGGCGCTGCCCACGCACGTTCTGCCTTTCCCGCACCTGGGCGCGGGGGGGCAAGCGGCGGGGGGGGCGGGCATGGCGTACGATGCGCAGAAGCCGCGTGCCGTCTTCTACTCTGCGTACGGGGCGGTCGGCGGCGGGAAGCCTTTCGACCCGGCGCTGATGCCGCCCAATGTGACCATCTCGGCGCTGCCGCGCAACACGCCACACCCCTTCTACGCCAACCTCCCCTCCATCGACGCCGTCGTGAAGCAGATCACGGCGCAGAGCCTGGCGCAGGCCTCGCAGCAGGGCGAGACCTCCGTGTGCCAGATCGACGACATGCGGCTCAAGGGCCACGACCAGCAGAAGGGGGGGCGTCCCGGCGCCGTGGACTGCCTGGGCGGGCCGCTGGGCTCGCTGATGGGTCCCGAGCTCGGCTCCGGAGACCCGTCCTCACGGGGGTGCGCCCCCCAATTCGGCGCGGTGTCGGACGCGCAAGGCGACGAGTCGATCGTCGAGAGACTCCTGTCCTTCTCCACGGAGATGGGCAACGTGCCGGCGGGCGTTGGCTTCCACTTCCCGTCCCCGCACTGGCACGGGGGGATGCCCCCCCTCCCCGCCGCCCCCTCCTCGGCTCAGGGCTACCAGCAACAAACGGGCGGCTCCGGCTTCCCGCCCCCCCCTTCCAGCGTGCCTCAGTCCGTCGGCATGGGCAACGGATTCATGTCGGCGCACGGTGGCGGCAACCAGCCGGGGCCCAGCCGGGGGGCGGCGGTGGGCTCCGCCTTCCACCACCACAACCACGGCCACCACCACCACCACCACAACGCGGGCCACACGTGCGGCGGTACCATGGTCCAGCAGCAACAACAACAGCAGCAGCAGCAGCAACAACAACAGCAGCAGCAGCAGCTGCACACAAACAGCGTGGGGCCCTCGGGGCAGAGCTGCCGGGATGTGAACACACAGCCCAGCACAAGTCTACCTCTGGCCCTGTCGCTAGGCCACGGCCCAGCGCAGCTCACCGATGCCGGCCTCGGCGCTGCCGCTGTATCCGCTCAGGGCTTCCTGCACCCCTCCCACCACCACCACCACGTGCGGCACTCATTCATGCCGCCGTCTTCCGTCGGGAGCAAGGTGGCGTCCGCCGCAGCACAGGGTCACCACAACCACCAGCACCACCGCCAGCTGCACCACTGCCCCGGCTCGGCAGCCGGATCCAGCATGGCCCTGCACGCCCACTCGCTGGCGTCGCAGAATGCCCTGTCCCTGCACCCCGCCGCGCAGATGTCCCACCCTTCCCTGGGCATGCCGGGGCAGGTCTCCCACCTGTCCCTGCCCACCTGCACCGGCATGCCCATGCCGACTACGTACGGGGGACCGGGCCTGCCCTCCTCCGCGCAGGGCGTCGCGGGCAGGGGCAAGGCCGGCGGGCCGACGGGGAGGGATGGCCTTCCCAGCGGCATGCACGTGGGGGGGCTGTCGGGCCCCGAGAGGATGGAACACATGGGGGTGCCCACACAGAGCCTCTCCGAAACCTACGGGGGGTGGCCCGGGCCCAGCTAGACCTGGCCCGTTAGCGTGGGCTTCGCGATAGTCTGGGGGTCACGCTCCCGCTGCGCGTACGCTCGCTGTAACGTCGGGACAACCCGGAGGTCACGGTCGAGGAGGCCAACGGGGCCGGCGCCTCCGCACACGCGGGCCGGGCTCAAGGGCCCTCGAGTTGCGCAATTTAGGTTGGGTTGCCTGCGCCCTCGCCCGTGGCCACGTGGCGAAGGTGGCGAAGGTGGCGGTGGGGCTGGCGCTCCGACGTGAATGTTACCTCACGTTTGATCCTAATGCGCGGAGTCGTGCCAGAGCGAGACGGGACACGGTGATGCGGTAGTGGGCGGGGGAGGAGGGGATACTGGGACCGGCCTTGCGGTGTGGAGAGCCACGTGGGGGTGGGGGGGCAGGAAGGGGGGGGGGGGGCAGCAGCGTGAGGGCAGAGCAAGGAGCCAGCAGCCGCCGGCCCGTGCTGAATGTAGAGCGCTTTGCACTCGTTGCCAGTACGACGACATATCACTCCAGCATCCTGCACACTTGAACGCGAGCGCGGGCGTGCGTGCCGCGGCGTCCCCCCACCATCCCTCGTCACCCCCCCCACCATATCCAAACCGCCCCCCCCTCTCCTCGCTCCACCCTGTCACACTGCTCCCCCTCACCTCCCCCAAGCCCTCCCGCCACTCCCTCAATACCCTCCCCCCACCCCGCACCTCTCCCATCTCCTCCGCATCTCCCGCCTCGCCCTCTCGCTGCAGCGCGCCCACGCAGCTTCCTGCATGTGCTGCTGCTGCTGCCGGGTGCAGCATTACCTCTCCCTGCTGCCCTGTGCTGCCTAGCGCGCATCTCCCTGCTGCTCACTCACTTGCTCCCCACCCCCCGCCCCCCCAGGTGCGCGCGGGAAGCAGAGCTGCCCTCGCAAAAGCAGTTATTAACACTTGATTGGATCGTCTCTTTTTGTTATGAAGATTTAGCCTTAATCCTGTACTTTTCATGCTGTGACCGGCTTATTAGCGTAAGCTACTACTCGTAGGTGCATTAATTAAAATGTGATCTTTAAGTTGTGATCGTTAAGTTAATCGTTTAATTTTTTTGACCAAACGGGAGACGCCGTCGCGCGCCGCTGCCACCGCTCTTGGAGTACCGCTGTAGTTGCCTGGGGGGGTTGGGGGGGAGGAGGAGGATGGAGGCTGTTGATCAATGCTTGAATCGTGCAAATGCATCTCCTCGTCGTGTTTACAACTCGTGTTTCTGTTGAGGGCGCCGGCTCAGCGGCGGCACCACCCCCACTTGGAGCGGAGGGGCCCTCGCCGTGACGCCCGCGGTGCCACTGCTGGCGCCCTGCTTCACGCGGCGGCCGTGAAATTCCCAATAATCGGAACCAAATCGAGACATTGTGAACACGAGAATATATAATAATAAGAATAATAAGAATACTACGTTAATAAGTACGTTAAAATAATAAATGCAAATAAAGAGCTGATCTGACGCTGGCTGCTGGTGCTTTGTGAAGGGGGCCCTGGGGCTGCATCGAGGCAGGACCCAGGCTTTAGGTCCGCGTGTGGGATGCGATGCAACCTAGCGGCGGCGTAGCCGTCGAGTGTGCAGGCGGTGCAACTGCACGGGGACTTGGCAGGTCCCGGAGGGGGCCAGGGCGAGAGGGGGCCAAGCTCGTTACACCACTGCTATGAGCGCAACACCGTTGGTTTCGCTCAGCAATTTCCTCGCTCATTAAGCACTGAGGTGGTGTTTGTCTCCTGCTTACAGCTCTCAACCCTTCCGCATTCCTATGGCGGGGACGAGTCCGTCGAAAAGGAAAAAACTAGACTTCCCCATGAGGTGGTACTCGTATCTACTGCCAGAGGGACGATGGGATGAGTCAGGCCCAAACAGGATTTGAACTCCCAACGTGCGTCTTGCGAGCCGCTCGCTCAACCGCCGAGCCACCTCTGGCTGGCGTGGATCCGTGGAGCCTGTGGGGGCGCCGCTCGCTCAGAGCAATGGGCTCGCCGTGCGGAGCCACCGCGCACCGGCAAGGCAAGCCAAGACGCCGTGTGGGTGGGAGACGGCCTTAGGCCTGAACGGTGGAAGGGAGTTGGCTGTTCCAAGTCCAGACGTCAGACTTCACTCTGGCTGACGGCCTCTCCTCCGCAGGAGAGCTCCGCCCGCCATCTCTGTCCGGCGTGTTGAGACTCCGTCGTGTTCTCGTGTGCCGTCTTCTGGCCACGTCAGCTCCCGTAAACGCGTGCCAGCGCTGTCTCTCAGCACAAGCACTCACTCGTCGATGTCATCTCCTTCCACGTCCGTCTTTGTCTCCCTCGCCCTTCCCGAGGAGGTACGGCGGCAAGGCCGCGTGTGAGCCCCGCGCCACGAGGGGCCCACACGCGGTCGACTGACCTCGTTCTGCAGCATTGTGTGCCATTCAGAAGTTCTGTTCATAATTTTCTTGTCCGTCCTTTTTCTCAGCACCCTCGTGCGTTTTTGAGTTCCGTTCCTAAAGAAGCTGCCGACACGTGGAGCGAAACTTCGCGTTGCTCGGCACGACACAACCGCATCGGAGCGGCACGGCCTCTCCCGCGTCGCCCCGTAGTCGTTCCGCTTGTTCACCCAGCAAAGCCTCAACGAGTCTCAGCTGCTTTTCAGGAGGATCCTGCTAATTTTTCGCAGTTATGGGCCACGTTGCTGCTGCAGGTGATCCCAGTTGAGTAATTTGTCAGCATTGGGATGTTTTGTCCAATACCGGTTACATTTTTAGCTTCCGGAGGAAACCGGAGGAATCCCCATGCAGACCGGGGGGAGAGCATGATTGACTCCCGATCACTAGAGAAAAAAAACTGATTCCTATATAGCCTGAACAGACTGTTGGGGCAAGTGCTGTTAGCGAGCACCTATGAAGGCCGTCACAGCACACGAGGGGGTGGGTGGCCAGCACCACTATCAGCCGCCTTTGTCTCCCTCGTGGCCCGAGTCAGGGAATCGAATCCAGGCGCTTGTTGCTGTGAGGCGCGAGCGTAACCACTGCGTGGTCTGTGCAGCCACGCTCTCCGTGCGGTCCAACGGCCTGGCGTCTTCCGCTTCCCGGTTCCGGCTCCCGTGTAATCCGTCCCGTGTGTCGTCTCCGCTGCAATCTCCGCGTTGTCTTTGTCCACTGGCTCAGTCCGAGGATCCCCCGTCGCGTCCCCTCCATCGGCGCCTCTCGTCAAAACGTTCTGGGCTTCGTTTGGTGTTGGGACCATCGTGGTGGAGCGCGAGGCAGCCTGCCCCCACGGTGGAGGTGTTGCCGCTGTGGGGTGTTGCCCAATTGAGTAGCGCGCTGGCAGTCTTTAACATGTGGGATGTTGGGACCGTTCAAATCTTATTTTCTGTGCACCAGGTGAGAAACCCAGAGTGACGGTGACGCTGGCAAACGCCATCGCAGGATCTGTCAAGCCGAGCTCGCTGTGAGGCAGACGGCACGTAGCGTTTTATCGTTAATACACAACCGCAGCATTAACCAGGGCGGCCGTAGGGTGAGGGCGCCGTGGTGGATGACGCAGTGTGTGCTGGTGCTCTGGTTGATGATGTTGTGCGCGACGGTGATGACACCCGCAGTGTTATCCAGAGCGGCCACTGAGTTCGAACTGTGAACCTGTGGGACGAGCGGGTGATGGTGCCCCTCCTCTCGCTCGGCCGCGTCGCTGCCCCGGACGTTGGGACCGGACGCGGCGGCCTCATGTCGTGCCCCGTTCTGCCGCTCGACCCCCACATACTTTATCCATGAGCCTGGGGGTGGCACCTGAGGGTGGCATAGCTTTACCTCAAATTTCTCATGGCCAATAACAATGTTTCATGCCATAACTGCTTGAAATTAGCGGGGTTACGAAATTATTTTCTGTGATTGGGCACGTAGAGCGTTGCTCCCGCGGCTCGTACCGAGTTCCACTGGCATCACGGACTAATCCCGTCGCTCACCACTTGCACGTGCCGCTACGCGCCTGGAGCCGGAGGTCATTCCCGTCCTGCCCTCTGCGTCTCGTCCGTTGCTCGTGTCCGACTCGTGTCGTCTGGACGTCTGCGAAGCAGCCACGCACGCGCAGACTGCACTCCGGCACGGCTCGGCAGTCGTGCGTTCACCACTCGTTGCAGAGGTTAGCGGTTCGACACCGGCGGCCGCCCTGGTTAAAACCGCGGTGCGTGTTTACCTTACAAATGCATGCCATCTGCTTCGCTCTGGACGTTGAAGATCCCCGTGACGTTATTCGCTAAGGCAGGCCGATTGTGTGGCGGCGTCATGGTCCAACTTGACCAAATCTGACAAATTGCACCACAAATTACTTGACTGTGAATGTCTCGTGAGGATTTAGGCACAGCAGCCGTGACCCCCCCCCCCCCCCGCCGCGTAAACTCGGCAGGACCCTCCTGGAAAAGAGTCGCGAGACTCGGCAAGGCTGGGTGATACGAATCATGGAGAATGGAGCCGACTAAATCGCCCGCCTCAGCGCTCGTGCCCCCCCTCCCCTCCCCACCAGGGGGCGGCACAGTTCGCGGCCCCACGCAGCTCCTCCGTCAGCAGTGGCAGTGAGCTTCAAGCCATTCGTGTTCAACTCTTGGTCACTGCCCTGAGCCAGTGATAAGAGATTCCACGTTCGTATGGCGGAGGCGAGTCTTTTCACATGACAACCGCTGTTGACTTACCCCACAAAGCGATAAGTACCAATTTTATCCTCCCCCCCTCAGGGATGATGGGCCGGGCCGAGTCGACCCCCTTTCCCCAACCCGGATTTGAACTTTGGGTTTTGGAGCACACGGGGGGTGGGGGGGGGGGGGACACGGACATCGTGGGGCACGGAAATGAGGGTCCCCGCATGCCCCTCGCCCGGGGTCAGACCCCAGTGAGGCTTCTCGCAGTCGCTTGTATCCAGCTTGCGTGTGACAACAATGAGTGTGACAATGTGAGTGTGACAATGTGTGTGACAGTGTGTGTGACAGTGTGTGACTGCCCATACCTGGGCAGTGTGCTTATGACCGGCTCCAGTTTAACAGCAGAGGTCTCACTCCGAATCAGTCGAGCGGCAATATCTTTTCATCGGTTGCGTAACGCTGTGTGGAAGCTACCTGGTCTGTCGCTCCGCACTAAGCTTCAGGTCTTCTCGGCCACGGTCATTCCCTCCCTTCTCTACGCTTGCGAAACGTGGACCCCCCTAATGAAACATCTTCGCCGGTTGGAAACATTTAGGCTGGCCTGCCTACGATCCATCCTGGGTTTAACCAGACTGGATTGTGTGAGGAGCTCACAAATCCTTGAAAGATCTGGGCAAGGTCCCATCGGTGAGCTCCTCCGGCAGGCAAGGCTGCGTTGGCTGGGTCATGTAGCCCGCATGCCCAGCCACCGCATGTCGGCCGAATCAAGGGGGCTAAACGGGCGCGGCACAGGCTAGAGAAGAGATGGAGTGACGTGGTACAGGAGGACGTGGAGCTGAGTGGACTCGCCGATGACTGGTACCAGCGGTATCAAGATCGGCCTCTGTGGAGGAGGCTCGTGAAGGACGCTACTGGGCAGTTGGAGGTAGTCGCCCTCCAGCAACAACGGAGGGCGGAGGAGCGACGCTCACAACAACGAGCGGAGCGCCGGGTGACTAGGGCACAGCAGGTTGGCACAGTAGGGGGCACAGGTGGTGCATCAGCCAGTCATCTCAGTCGACCCGTGGCACCTGGGTCTGCCCCGTGACCAGCCAGCGGGCGTTCGACACTTCACGTGGCCTCAAGGTGCACATGGCCTGGCACAAGCGTCGTGGTGACGTCACCCCCACTTAGTGGCGAATGGCGGTTGTTGTGACAATGTGTGTGACAGTGTGTGCGAGTGAGTGTGAGTGAGTGTGTGTGACAATGTGTGTGACTGTGTGCGAGTGAGTGAGTGCGACAATGTGTGTGACAATGTGTGTGACAATGTGTGTGACAATGTGTGTGACAATGTGTGTGACAATGTGTGTGACAATGTGTGTGACAATGTGTGTGACAATGTGTGTGACAATGTGTGTGACAATGTGTGTGACAATGTGTGTGACAATGTGTGTGACAATGTGTGTGACAATGTGTGTGACAATGTGTGTGACAATGTGTGTGACAATGTGTGTGACAATGTGTGTGACAATGTGTGTGACAATGTGTGTGACAATGTGTGTGACAATGTGTGTGGTGGGGAGCGGTAGTGTAGCGGTTAACGCGCTGCGCTATGAACCTGGCCACCCGGGTTCGATTCCCGCTCACGGCCAACACCAGTGACGATTATCTGAACCGGTCCTGGGCCTCCCCTAGGTCGACTCAGCCTCAAAAGAGTACCTGGTGCGGTGGATAAAAACATTGCCACTGGGGAGACTAAGGCGGTCGGGCGTGGTGCTGGCCACCCACCCCCTCGTGTACCTTTCTGGCCTTCATAGGTGCTCGCTAACAGCACTTGCCCCTACAGTCTGTTGAGGCTATACGGGGGATCTTTATCTTCGTCTTTTGTC